AGTTTCTGTTCAAATGCTTAAATACGACAGCCTAGGTTTTGTTAATCTGCTCTGATATCAGTGGTAATCTGTGCTGCTGTGTGGGAGAGGCTCTGGCCTAAAAGCTCTAAGAACTTATTAAACATGAGAGTTGTGTCCATATAGTGCCCTGCGGGGAATTGTGGTGCTGCCACCAGGGTATTAAGGCTGGATGGCGCCCCTGGTAATGATAAACGGTGATGGGTGCCAAATGTGAGTTCCAGAAGAGATTAAGTGGAGGCTAGAGATGGTACAGAGAAAGGAGGAGTACTCATTTGCAGCCCCTTGGGGATGTGCATGGATTGCAATAGGGAGTTGTCATCAGCTATGGAGTTTTCTCCCGCTGCATCCTCCAGGGCTTGTGATGCGGCGTTTTCTTGGGAGACCTGGTCTCCAGGCCCCAAGCTAATGGGAAAGGGTTCTCCGCCCATTTCACAGGGCATGAAAGATTGCCATTACTGATGTGCTGTCTAGGGGGGGTAGCACTCAGTATAGTGGCCGTGGCAGGGCAGAACCGGCCAGAGTGGGACAGAGCTCTCGGCCTAAGCACCCATCTTGGGAGTCACCGCGCATGCGTCCCGTTTTAGGTTTTTTAACACTTGATATTTAAAGCGCGGGTCACACACAATTGTTTTGAACACTCAACAGAGAGCATAGTGACTGCAGCTGGATAGTTTATTACACCTTTGGCACAGAGTTATTTTATTTATAGTGTCCTTTAAGAATTGGTTCAGGTATTGCCACTGTATTCCTTACAGACAACGCTGTCCCTCTTTATCAAGGTGTTATGAAGGGTTGGGAAGGCTTCTCACCGCTCTGTGTCAGCAGAGGAATCTCCTTGTACTAACTGGCAATGTGTACCCCGGTCATTGTCCTCAGTGTCCAGTTCATCACTCAGGCAGAAGGCTTATCCAGCATTAAGGAAGTACTCCAATGTTCTGGAATGGCCACCACTATCCCTCTTTCATGCAGGTGCAGCGGTCCCCTCATAGCTTCTTTGCAAGATGTCTATGCATTCTTCCTTCAGCTTGGGAAAAGTGCAACCCCCTCCTCCTCTCCAGCACAGTGCTTCTAGGAGTTGAAGTTCTGTAGTACAGGTCAGGTCTCCTTGGGGACTGCATCTCCCACAGTCCTTCACACTGGTCCTCACAGTCTCTATGTCAAGGTCCTACCTTTCCCCAGAGGTTAGGCTGCTCCATGTGCTGGCATCCATTTTAGGTTTCTGCAAAGCATGGTGGGAGCCTTTTATGCTTTCAGGCCTCTGCGGTCCATCCCCCAGAGGGGTGTGGTTGATCACATTTAAGCCTGTTGTCTGCATGTGCTCTTTTCATTCGTGTCCTGTATGATTGTGTTGCAGCAAGCTCTTGTTCTACTCTCGTGGCTCTCCTGGAAACCGACTCGGCTTTGACTAAGACTATTCTCAGCCTTATCCCTTTATCTGACCTCCTGTTGCTGAACCGGATATCGTATGTACTCTCCAGCGCCTCAGGATATGCACAGCCAAAAGGGAAGCCAAGGGTACCAGGACAGCGACAACCAAAGGAAATGCTTCAGGGGTGCAGCCCTCCTCAGACGGGGAAATCAGCCACTGGATAGAGAGAAAACAGGTGGCGCACACACCTAGTGCATTATCCAAGGTTTATTGTAGGAGTGAAAGAATAATAAAAACATACTCACAGATGAAGCATGTATCTAAAAAGGATAGAAAAATGACAATGGCCACAACGGCAGGCAAGGTGTTCTCACTGTCAGTGCGGTCAAATGTCTGACGCGTTTCGGGGACGAATCCCTTTCCTCAGAGCTGATGACCAACCTCTGATGCTGATGTATGATAAATGGAAAGTAAGAGCCTTGCTGTTGATCTGTTGACCCGGCTCGTGACCTGTGTATTCTTGCCTACCGTCCTGTTTGGTCTGTCCCGCTGGTATCGACCCAGCCTGTCTGACTACGCCATCGTTTCCCATCTGGTTCCCACCAGCTATACGCCATTGGCGGCGGCCATTACTGCAGCTGAGGTTACTCGGGGGACGCGACCTAATCCCTGACTGCGTCAAGTCCATCCCCACCATCAGGGGCCCTGTCGAAAGGCAGCCTGGGGCTTAGACTCCGCGCCCTGAGGGACTCCGGCCTGTGGGTGGTGGTTGTCGTCAGTCGGTGTGTGACCCTACCATTAGGCCTGCCTGTCCATTCCACCGCTCCTGCCCTGACACTCTAGCAGTTCACATCTTCAGTGTATCCCTAGCGGTTGGAAGGCGGCCTACCACTGGCTGCTTTATGCTATGCAATAAGAGTCTCTGCTCTCTGTGCCTGTGTAATAGTCTGCAGCACAGAGTCATTTTCCTGCCAGAGCTGCAGACAGTCTCTATATTTATCAGATTAATACTTTTGTATGTTTTTCTCTTTTACTCAAATCACAGAAATACGTATGTTATCTTAATCATCTCCTTGTTAAATGTCATTTGATTTTTTTTCTGTTTGTAGATGTAAGATACAAGGTCATTGATTCATCCCGCACAGTTGATTCCCCATACCTGCTCAAATTGCCTGGTAAGAGTTTCTTTTAATTTGATGTATTACAGTATCAAATAAGTCGGACTAGTGTGTACTGTATATTAATGAGTCACTTAGTTAACAGACGCCTAATGACTAGTAACTTACATCACTACTATTTAACCCTCCCGTGGGTGCTACCCCCTCCCTCTCCAAAGTAAATGCAAAACTTTGGGCCATTGTGAAACATTTCAAATCTCCACTCCTTCAACTGCTAAAGGATTGAATGTTAACATCAGATACACATGGTCATGCTGTAGCTAGTTATAGATCCTTTGTTTCCCACTATGCATTGCTTTGCCTTCAGAGCTTCGTGATATTCTGGCCAGAACTTTAATAATTAAACTATGTATGCCTTATGCAGGCCATAGATGGGTCGAAAATCGGCCGAAAATTAGTCCGAAAGAATAATCGGCCGATTTTCGGATCGTTAGTGGGTGAATTTGTCGGCCGTTTTTCGTGATTTTGACACATTTTTTTAATCGGCTATGTTGGAAAAAAAAACAGCCGATTTTGTCCATCGGCCGATTTTCGCGGCAATGATGGGCAAATCGGCCGATCGTTTTAACGATAAAAAAATCGGCGCATGAGCAGTGATCTGCAAGGGACAGAAGTTATGGGGTGAGCTTTAGGATTTAGTCGGCCGATTTTTTTTTTTTTTACTCGGTGGTAACGTCGGCCGAAACGAACGACCGATTTTTCGTTTATCGTTCGAAAAATCGTCCGATGTTCGACCCATCTATGGCCTGCATTAGGCTACTTGCACACAGGGTGGTTAGCTCATGTGCATCCATACCCAGTGTTTTACCACTTGCCCTCCAGAGGATTTACCCCCCTTCATGACCAGGCCATTTTTTGCGTTACGGCGCTGCATTATTTTAACTGACAATTGTGCGGTCATGCATCGCTGCACCCAAATGAAATTTCCATCTTTTTTTTTTCCCCACAAATTGAGCTTTCTTATGGTGGTATTTGAACGCCTGTGCAGTTTTTATATTTTGCGCTATAAAAAAAAAAAAAGACTGACAATTTTGAGAAAAAAATTGGTTTTACTTTTTGCTATTAAACATGTCCAGTAAAAAATATTTAAAAATCTAATTTTCATCACAAATTTAGGCCAAAAATGAATTCTTCTACATGTCTGCTAAAAAAAAAAAAAATCCTAATCCGTGTAAATTAATTGGTTTACATGAAAGTTATAGTGTTTACAAATGGAGGTATAGATAATGGGATTTTGTATTTTTACTAGTAATGGCGGCAATCAGCGACTTATAGCGGGACTGCGGCAGGCATTCTGACACTGGGGGGGAACCTGACTTGGTGTCACTGACACTGACTCCCCCATTGAACACCAATAGTGATCAGTGCTAAAAAAAAAAAGCACTAACACTGTACTAATGGCACTGAGCAGGAAGGGGTTAACATGAGGGGCAAGCAAAGGGTTAACTGTGTGCTGAGTCCGTGTGCTTCACTGCAAGCACAGTGCTTTGCATGGCTGTGCTGTGCACAGCCATCCAAATTAGTGTGTATGAACCGGCAGGGAGAACTATTTTGTTTACAAACAGATTTTCTCCCCCGTCCGGGACCCGGTCATTGACAGCTGCAGCTGCAAATGGCGGCATGGGAAATGCAAAATCACATATACATAAATATATATATATATATATATATATATATATATATATATATATACACATACATACATACATACATGTGATTTTGCTTACCTGTGCCACGATGTAGCAGTATTTCTGCTATAGGGCAGTCGGGAAGCAGTTAAAGTGGTTATGAAGCTTTGTTTTTAATTAAAATAATAAACATGTTATACTTACCTACTTTGTGCAATAATTTTTCACAGAGCAGCCCCAATTTTCCTCTTCTCAGGTTTCCTGGCTTCTTCGCCATAGAAAGCTGCTTCCTAGGGGGGCACTCGCTCTGCTGCCTGCTTCCATAGACAAAGACAGTGTGCACGGTACATCCCCCCTACTGCCTCGTCACAGAGTTTGATTGACAGCAGAGGGAGTTAATGGATCCCGCTGCTATTGATCTGCCCAGTGAGGAGCGACAGAGCAAGGAGAGACGCTGCTCTCATGCACAGAGCTGGATCACAATGGGGCTCAGTTAAGTTTAAAGTGGGGGGCTGGGGGGATCCTAGGCACAGGTTTTTTATCCTTAATGCATAAGGGTAAAAAACCTTATTTTTATTTATTACAGGTACTTATATAGCGCCGTCAATTTACGCAGCGCTTTTACATACTGTATATATATATATTAACATTCGTATCAGTCCCTAACCCTCAAGGGGCGTACAATCTAAGGTACCTTAAATTGTTACTAAACCCCAAGACCCTGCATACTAAACCCTGGACCCTGCATACTAAACCCTGGACCCTGCATACTAAACCCTGGACCCTGGACCCTGCATACTAAACCCTGGACCCTGCATACTAAACCCTGGACCCTGCATACTAAACCCAGGACCCTGCATACTAAACCCAAGACCCTGCATTCATTATATCTGGTCTCTCACAGTACACACAACATGGAAATGCAATTATTTTAGTAAATATAAACTGCTAAATACCTTCTCTCATCAGCAGTATATAGAGGTCTTGTGACTTCCAAGTGTCCAGCTGAGCACTGGTTAAAGCTTGTAGGAGGAGTTTGCATTCTCTGACTGTCCTATGAGGCTGCATAACCCCTGACCCTCTGCCTGGACAGTGATGATTGTCCCTGGACAGATCACATGCACCCTCCCAAAGAAATAAAACTCTCTAGCCATACACAATAAACTGACCATGTGTTGAGTGACTCCTAGAGCTCCGTACTATCAGCAGATTTGTAGATGGACAGTAGAAGATAGGGAGGATCAGAGAAGACAGGATCAAACAGCCTTTTTACACAATGTGGAAGAATAACCCGTAGTGAGTATAACAAGCATGCTTTACTGGATATACAGAATGATTTTACTGTTGTGGGTTTAGTAACACTTTAAGGCTTTACAGCCAATTTAATACTCCAGAGAGGCCCAGGCGCAGCATCCAGCCCATCTGTCTGCAGCCTGTCAAAGTCTATGGAGAGCTGAAATACAATGTGGCTGTATGGGGCTGAACAATGTACTGAGTGGGATTTGCAGTTTTGTAATGAATGCAATATACTTCCTATACCCACCTGGGCTGAATATAATAGCATGTTTATTTTTCAGTGCTGAAGCCACAGCTACGGTATTTCAAAAGACCCACCTATTGTACAACACCACGTCTACCTAGCTATCACAAGAAAACAGAGGAAAATGCGGCAGAACAAGCAGCACAGAAGTACAAACCTTTTGATCAAAGAGGAAGAATGAAGAAAATACAACACATTTCCTTACACTGGAATAAAAAATAATCTGGGATGAAAAATATTCAACTAAATTATATAAAAGAAGTTCTTTACAACTTTTCTTCTTATAAATAATGCTAGTTTTCTTTATTGTATAAATAACACTTTTTTTTGTCATTTTAGATGATGTTGTAAGCAGGTTAATAATTTAGCTGCTTTTGGTAAATAATACTTACAGCTAAAGATGAGCGCTCGGAAAAGAGGTTTATAAATATTGAGAAATAAACCACAATTGTGCATTTTCCTTTTTCCGGTTTCTATAGCCTTCAAAAAAAAAAAAAAAAAAAAAAAAAAAAAAAAAAAAAAAAGAAAAAAAAAACATTTTGCCAGGAACCAGTTTACTAACATGATACATTTTACTAATACATGACCAGGAGGCTGAACAAGAAAAAAAAAAAGATTTCACCATCATCAATGCATTTGAGGTGGATGCAGGAATTCTCCCTACTGTGTCATTGTAGTTCGAAAGAACAGGACCAGCCATAGATGGATTGAAATTTGTTTGCTGAACTGGACGAATTTTGTTCCATCTATGGCCAGCTTTGCACAACTAGTTTGATACAACAAAAGTACCAAAATGTTATCACCCCATGTACAGTCCCTCTGCTGTACTGATACTTCCCAAGTACAGGACTAGTGTAATTTTTGTTATTAGATGAAGGGACCTCCTTTCTAAAGATATCAGTACAGAGTTGCAGAACACCCTTTGAAACCTCCATGGCCTGGGTAAGTGTTGGTTTCATGAAGCAGAGGACCTATGAGAAATATCCCTGTGCACTAATGGACAGGTAATGTAGAAATCCGTGCAGTAAAAGCAAATGTTATTTATAAGGACCACTTTTATTTATTACAGGTACTTATATAGTGCCATCAATTCACACAGTGCTTTACATATATTGTACATTCATATCATTCCCTAACCCTCAAAAAGTGTACAATCTAAGGTCCCTAACTCACATTGATACATATTACGGACGATTTAGACAGGACCAGGGGCGGACTGACCATTTGGAAACTTGGGCACTGCCTGAGGGCCCAGGGTCAGTAGGGGGCCCCATTAGATGCCCCTGGTACCTTTTTCATAGGCTTTTTTGAGTTTGGGCAAGGACACAGGGGCCCCATGATCCCCTATTGCCTGGGGGCCCCATGAGTTGTCAGTCCGCCCCTGGACAGGAGCCTAGGGTGTAATGTAACACTTTTTACACAAGTACCTTTTTCATAGGCTTTTTTGAGTTTGGGCAAGGACACAGGAGCCCCATGATCCCCTATTGCCCGGGGACCCCATAAATTGTCAGTCCGCCCCTGGACAGAAGCCAATTAACCTACTAGCATGTCTTTGGAGTGTGGGAGGAAACCAGGAGTACCTGGAGGAAACCTACACTGGCACAGAAAGAACATGCAAACTCCAAAAGGTAGTGCCATGGTTGGGATTCAAACCAACGACCCTAGTGCTACTAGGTTGCAGTGCTAAGCACTGTGCTGCCCAACCACTTTGTGTGATTTCATGCAGAGAATCTGTTGCTAGATTAAAAAAAAAAAAACATTGTATGTGTGTTGGGGGGCACAGCTTCTTTACGGTCAGGTGAAGATGTGCTCTCAAACTGCATTGATCCATAAGTGTGATCTTAGTGATATACCTCTGTCCTACCGCCTTCTTTCTTCAGAATGTAAGAAAAAAATGCAAGAAGAATGGCATCTCAGTGGGCTGAGACCAGGGGCGGACTGACAACCCATGGGGCCCCCGGGCAATAGGGGATCATGGGGCCCGTGTCCTTGCCCAAACTCAAAAAAGCCTATGAAAAAGGTACCAGGGGCATCTCATGGGGCCCCCTACTGCCCTCGGGGAGTGCCCGAGCTTCCAAATGGTCAGTCCGCTCCTGGCTGAGACTGTAGAGTGTAGTGGCCGCATACAAGGCTTTTATTCTGCCTCCTTGACAGCCACTCAGCGGGGAAACTACATAGATTCTGAATCCTCTGGCAACTCCTCCAATCATGGCAGTCTGGGCACACCAGTGTTACATTACACCCTAGGTATATTAAGGGGTTCACCACAGGACTTCACTTCAGGGGCAGCATGGAACTTACAGGAATACATCCGTTCCTTACCATCTAAATATTACTGGAATTGTACACAGCTTAGAATCTTTTTATTAAGCAGAGCTTAGCATTCTTAAAGAGGGTTTGACAGATTAACCCAGATACGAGTCACAGCCCTGAAATGCCAATATTTTTCAAATTGCTCAGACCCTCAAAACACCATCAGGCTCTGATGGCTCCCAATAGCCACAGGACCTTATTTTGATATTACAGGGCAACTCTCCCATAGCAGAACTTCTTTACAAAGCCTTGGGAATCAAAAAAACCTATAAAAGTAATATGGAGCAGGGTGCATTATTGAATCTCAAAGAGGACACTAAGAAAGCCATCCTGGTTAAAGATTGAATTGATTTTGATGAGACACATTTCTTCAATTACCTTTCCAGATATAGCCTGGCTAAACACAGAGCTGTTGGATCCAATATAGAAGAGGATTTTCTTCTCAACTGCAGAGCATTTACTGTATAATCACCAGAAAATCATATTCCAATCTATTAAGGACTTTATCTTGTTTCTGCACCAGCTAGATATTTTGATCTTCCACAGTGATCACAGGTTGACTATTTGTGCATTGGCCAGAAAACCACCCAACGCTAGCCAGTGAAGAGCCCCTGCTCCACACTACTCTCATTTCAGTGGGAACGGCTATTTTGCATTACTTTTGGACCAGGCAACCTGCTCAGGTATAAGAATGAAACTAGCCTGACTATTATTTAGACCTCTCCAAGCACCAGCCTGTTTGGTGTTAGACACATTTGGACATTGACAAGAGTCACTGAGGCAATCTCTGTACAATTTTATAGGCAACGATTAACTTCTGTGACCATTCAAGAAGAGCCTGGGGATTTTTTGGGTCCAAAATGTTGATTGGGAAACAATTCCTCCAGTGACCAAGTTCCCTATACCAACAAGGAGTTGAGGACTCCTCTCTAGCCCTTTAGGCTGACATTGTGTGGCTCCTCCATAGGGTTGTCATCTCAACCCTTTAAAACCTAAAACCCGAACACATTCTATTTACACAGGTTCTGAGGCTATTTTAATGCAGATAAGGCACTAAGTGAGTTTAATTACCAACTTAATCAGCTACAGAACCTGTGTAATTAATATGGGTTTGCTTTTAAAGGGATGAGGTGGCAACCCTATTCCCCCAAGAGATTGTGAGGAGGGATTTCCCAACATTAGAGCTGGACTCCTGAGACAACCTGGACCTTTGTGTCAGGCAAATCAGTTTGTCTAGAGACTGAAAACTGTCAGGGCTCCGGGTATGACCAGAGGTGTGTGGACTGACACAGGGAAACGCAGGCTTCAGATATGGTATAAATAAGACAATTTATTAAGACTAACAATACAAACATAAACGCAGTGCACCAAACCCCAAGCTAACACAAATACATACAAACAAGGTGAAACAAACCCAACCCTAAACTGATATATATACACAGGTACATACACATATAGAGCACAACGTAGTCAGGCAGGCCGGGTCGATAACTATCGGGCAGGTAGGTACAGGAGGAGCAGGCGGAGAGTAGTCAGGTCACGAGCCGGGTACAGCAACTAACGGACAGGTAGGTACAGGGGGTCAGGCAGAGAATGGTCGGGGTTACAAGCCAGGGATCAAACAGGAGAAGTCAGCAGAGGTCAGGATCAGGCAGGGTCGGCAACAAGTCGGGCAGAAACAGGAATGAAGGTTACAAGATACAGGGGCCCATGGAAAAACACACACCAAGGCACAGACTGCAGGTCTGGCCATCCCTTAAATACACCACCTGCAATCAGCCCCAGGTGATGGCTAATTGCCGAAGTGAACTTCTGGTTGTTGAGAGCACCCGCTGGCCAGTCCTGGTACTGCAGCCCACAAGGCAGGTGAGTCCCACCACTATTGGCAAGTCCATTCCTGACAGAAACAATCTGTCCCAAGGATGACTGGATGTTGAGTTGTGTAGTTCTTGAGTGGAAATGGGCAAATAGGACTGCTATGAAGGAGGCTATCATCAGCCCCTTGATTCTCATGCAGAAGCAAAGAGTGTGGCAAATGCTGGAGTAAAGAGCTTGAATCTGGGAGTGTTCGAGTTAGAGGTTTCTCTTAGGGAAGAAAAATTCTGGCTTGAGCCATGTCTAGGATATGATCCAGACACTCCAAGCAATGAGTTGGCTCCAAAGCTGATTTCTGAAGTTTCAGGATGTAACCG